GGAAGGAAGGAAGGAAGGAAGGAAGGAAGGAAGGAAGGAAGGAAGGAGAGAGAAAAGAAAGAGAGAGAGAAAGCAAGGAAGAAAGGAAGAAGAGAAAAGAAAGACTGAGAAAGAGGGAAAGAGAGAAAAAAAAGAAAAGCAGGAAGAAAGGAGGGATGAGAGGAAGGAAAAAGAGAGAGAGAATCAGGAAGGAAGGAAGGAAGGAAGGAAGGAGAAGGAAAGAGAGAGAGAGAAATAGACAGAAGGAAAGAAAGAGAAAGAGAGAGAAAAAAAGAGGGAGATGGAGAGGGGAAGGAAGGAAGGATATGGATAACAGATAACAGATAACAGATAATCAGAGTTGGAAGGGACCTTGTAGGTCATCTAGTCCACATACAACCCACCCCAAGCAGGAGACCCTACACCATTTCTGACAGATGGGAGTCCAATCTCTTCTTGAAGGTCTCAACTGATGGCGCTCCCACAACTTCCGAGGGCAACTTCTGTTCCACTGGTTGATTGTTCTCATTGTCGGATCTCTTGGGAGCCAACCAAATGCACCTATATCAGAGTCTTTCTCACCATTGGCTGCTTGAAGATATGTGGACTTCAACTCTCAGAATTCCTCCAGCTAGCTTTGCTGGCTGGAGGATTCTGGGAGTTGAAGTCCATGCATCTTTGAGCCGCCAACAGTGACCAAGAGCAATTTATAAGACCGCCCAGGCCGTCTTAGACCTAGCAGCGGATTCTTAGCCGGGATCCAAAGATAGAGAACCCCCTTCCTTAAATCACTCACAGAGTGACCGCATTGTTCACTGTTGGGAGTGCAGAATCCAAGACTGACAGGTAGTCCTTGACTTAGTGACTGCTCAAAGTTACAACGACACCGAGAACAGTAATCTTATGACCGTTTTTTTCACCAGTAGGAACCTGGCAGCAGAGTTGGAAGGGGCCATGGAGTCCTCTGGTCCAAGCCCCTGCTTAGGGAACCGGTTCCTATTTTCGGATGGTCCCCTGCAGTCTCCCCAGGGGGGTCCCTTGATTTCCCCTGAAGATTACCTGTAATTGAGGTGTTCTGCCCTCACCCCCAGCAGGGAGGGGAACAAAAAGAAAACCAGTGGGGGAAAAAAACTCCCAATAAATCACAGCTGTCTAACCCTCTGCGGGGATTCGAACCCAGAGCCAGGGCCAGAGATGGATAGCACCAACCTCACCCCACCTTACCCCCCCCCCCTCACCTGAGTTCAGGCTGCCTTCTTTGAAACTGGTGGAGCTCAGGTAGTCCTCCTTGCAGACGAATTTGTTCTCGTCGATGATGTACAGTTCCTCGCCCGTGGAGAGCTGCTTATTGCACACCATGCAGGTGAAACAGTTCAGGTGAAAGACTTTGCTACGCGCTTTCCGCACCAGGTCGGAGGGGGAGATGCCCTGCGCGCAGCCAGCGCACTTCGTCCCAAACTTCCTGGAGGAAAAAAAAAAGGAGAGGGATGGATGAAAAAAAGGGATCCGGAGAGAGGAGGAAGGAAGGCGCAGGGCGGCCGCTGGTAGGGGGAGGCTAGGTTTTTTATTTTTTTTAACCGGGGGTTGGGAAGGCGGATCTCCAGAGTGCCCGTGTGGATCCACAATCGTCTCAGGGGTCTTTAGGATAGGTCGAGGAGGGGAGGTAGTTTGCGCTCTCTCTCTCTCCCCCTCCCCGTTTCCCTCCTCTCATTCTTTCTAGTTCTCTCGCTTTCTCTCATTTTTCTCTCGCTCTCTTTCCCCCCCTCTCTCATTCTCTCGTTTTTCTCTGTCTTTCTTGTTTCCCCCCTCTCATTCTCTCTCTCTCTCTCTACTTCTCTCTACTTCTCTCGTTTTCTCTTGTTTTTCTCTCCCTCTCTCTCCCTTGTTCCCCCCTCTCTCATTCTCTCTACTCTCATTTCTTTCGTTTTCCCCCTCTCATTTTTTTCCTCTCTCATTCTCTCTACTTCTCTCGTCTCGCGTTTCTCTCTCTCATTCTCTCTTTCTCTCGTTTTCTCTCTCTCTCTCTCTCCCACACACACACACACACACACACACACACACACACACACACACACAC